GATACTCATTTTTAAAGTGATATTTCTCGAAGCAGTTTGTATGAAAACAAATGATTTTTTTTTTAATAACAGCTGAAGACGTCACCTTTCCAACGTTATATAATATGTAGATGGAAGTATTAATGACAACACTTTACGACGCTTATAACTCCATCTATTGAAACTCCGCACGAACTTTTGCACTCACCCAATATATATATATATGTATATGTATATATGTATCGATAATTTGCCTCACAAGGAGATGACGCAACCTGTTTCATCAATTTCAACACGAGTCATAGCACACTCGATAGCTATGATGCCGTGTATAAACGCCCTAACATAATATGCGTGAATGCGTCTTTGTTCACGAGTAATTTGCAGTTAAAGTTTGGCTCGCGGAGCCGTGCCGCACATAGGGCGCAAGTTACGATACTCTTTCACGAAGCCGGTGATTGAGCAGACAGAGACTCCCGCGCCGCGAACACTTTTGCGCCGACGACGGCGTTCGAGTCCCGCCGACGACTGGTTCGTTTTTTTTTCGTATGTAAAGACATGTAATAAATATTTTTATATTGTTCTTATGTATAATTCCTTTTTTTGTTTCTACGCTATTAATCAAGGCTAATTAGGAGAGTCAGATCTTTCAAATATGAACATAACTTTTTTATTAATTACAATAAAATGTTTTTTTCGTGTAAATCTATTTCGCATAAATATTTCGTATGGTATGGGAAAGAAATGACCAGACAGTGATTATTTTGTGTGAGAGAAACCCGAGAGCCGTTAGAACCGTTACAAGTGAAAAGGAACCCTCTTCCCTTTCCCCTTCTCTCAGAGGGATTCTCATGTTTTGTAACGTGTTCGCTTTATTCTCTGGACAGTCTCCGTAACGTGAACAGTGAAAAACTCGTGTTAAAAATGGAAACCACGTTTGTAGATGAAGCAACGATCAGCTATGTACAAAATCTAGCAAAATGTGATATTACGAAAGAAGAGTTGACTGACGCAATAGAATATCTTCGAGGTAAATATATTGAATGTGTGAGCAATGGAAAGATATATTTGTATGTATTGTTATTGGCCTTGTATACAATATCAATTATATTGAATTCATATTTGCAGATGTCCTGATACAATTTCCGTCCAGTCTTGTTGACAGGTATTTTACAACGTCAATCAATTATGTTTTCCACCAACTGTACATAGTCAAAAGTATATTTGTGCAAAAAATTATGCGTTCATTACGTGCAGTTGGTGCAAAAACTATTATGTTTTACATGCTTTTATACGACATTCCATCCGTAGAGTTGCAACAGCATGACCACATTTTATAATATGTAACTTTCATTTGTGTGCCTTATATTTGTCTTATGTGTGTGTGTGTGTATGTGTTTTGATACGGACAAAAATATTTTATTTTAATTAATAAAAAAGTTGTGTTCATATTTGAAAGACCTGACTCTCCTAATTAACCTTGATTAATAGCGTAGAAACAAAAAAAGGAATTATACATAAGAACAATATAAAAATATTTATTACATGTCTTTACATACGAAAAAAAAACGAACCTGTCGTCGGCGGGACTCGAACGCCGTCGTCGGCACAAAAGTGTTCGCGGTATGGGAACCTCTATCTGCTCAGCTACGCCGCACAGTGTGACGACTAGTGTAAATCACGGGACGTAGCGAATAAAAATGAAAGTTTGATTTTTAACACATTACCATTAAAGATATTTAGTAAAATACTTATAGTTTCTTTTCCTATGTCGCAATTTCCATAATAACTAATAGAATATATATATAACGCAAAATCAACAGTTCAAACTATTACATCTTAATATGATGCTAGCAAGATGCATCATCCGAGTTAATTTCAAGTTGCATATACAATCATGTTTAGTTTCAAAAATATATTATTTCATCAGCTTTGTGTTACTATATCAAATTATTTTCTTGTATGTTTCTCCAAAAAATATCTATTTTTCAACTTTATATATTATTAATTTTCAGTGGAAATTTAAAGTATATTGAAATATATTATAAATTGTTGATTATAACAAAACTCTTGTAACATCTCGTTTCATACTAAAAATTTTATGAAACAATATATTTAAGACTACATATATCTGTTTACATCAGGTGCGCCTAGGTGCGCCTTTACAAAATATTTATTGTTAAAGATGCACAAACGTATATCATGAAAGGGGAAATTTCAAGCATTCGACAAAACAAATATTATATAAAAATGAGAATCAAAAATAAAATATATCTATTAAAAAAAAACAAGTTTTTCTTGTTTTATTTTTGTAATTTCGTTTATAACTTATTGTGTTGATTTTTTTCTGACAAAATCAGAAAATTATTCATATCGTTAGGACTTTAGAACTACACTATATATAAAATAAGTCATAGATGAAAATTACTTATGGAGAAACTTTCTTATTCACTGTATAAAATATATAATATGTAATAACTATGGAGCCCGTGTTAAAGATCTAGGCACCCTATATATAAAATAAAAAGTTTTATGTTAACCTATTAGAGCCCATGGCTAACTCTGCTGGGATATCATATAAATAACATATGGTATCCTCTAGTATGATAAAAATAACAAATTCGGCCGAAAAAAGTTGCAAAAAGAATTTGTTTATAACAAAATTGTTTAAACAATTTATATAAAAAATGATTGTTTTGAAAATCTGATGCTGCTAAGCGATTTCGCTTTGAAAATTAAGTAAAAAACAATCTTTTTTTAAAAAGTTGTTTAAACAATTTTGTTATAAAAAAATTATTTTTGCAATTTTTTTCCGCCGAATTTATTATTTTTATTATACTAAAGGATTCCATATGTCATTTAAGTAATATTCCAGCTAAGTTAGCTGATATACTTTTTCAATCATCGGCCGCTTCTACGACGCGCATTAAGAAGCACGATTAGTCAATCGCACAATATATTACACATCTTCGCGCTCGGGCATTCACGTGATACACGAAAAGAGCACAGTCTTTTCATCGAAGCCTCGACAAAGCAAAAACAATATATATAAACAGAAAAACAATAATATAATAAAAAAAATATAAAAAAATATAAAATATATAAAAATAAATAAAAGTAAACTTAATAACATATAATTATAATAAATATATTATAAATATATAATAACAATATATTTTAACAGTATATATATTATATAAAGAAAAACGGCTCAATGTCCGAGAATCGTTATACTTCACCACACTGTGCGCCGGCTTCGTGAAAGAGTGTCGTAACTTGCGTCCTATGTGTGGCACGGCTCCGCGAGCCAAACTTTAACTGCAAATTACTCGTAAACAAAGACGCATTCACGCATATTATGTTAGGGCATTTATACATGGCATCATAGCTATTGAGTGTGCTATGACTCGTGTTGAAATCGATGAAACAGGTTGCGTCATTTCCTTGTCAGTATTCGTATTTAATATTATGACTTGTCGATAAATAGTCCTAGTTTTCAAATTTCAATATTTTGATCTTTCGGGACATTGCGTGTCTACCAACATTGCAATAATTATTTTGTTCTAGCTGTCGTAAAAACAGATAAAAGCAGACGATCTTTTCTGGACATTAAAGTACGAAGCATCAGTTACAAAACCGATTAAGTTCAATCGACGAGTCACGACGAGTCTGTTTTCAAAAATCGATATGCTCTGAAAGATAGCATTGATATTTTCATGCAAGCGAGCTAAGTTTTGATGCGTTATTATATGGTAATAAAATTATTTTTTTATAATTTATTATATACTATTAGAAAGAGGAAAAATCATATAATTTCTTTATATAATAACGATTAATATTCATATCTATTTTATAGCTTGTTTTATTCGATAAAAATATTTGTATCAGTTAAATATGGTAATAGATGGCATTTGTTAAAGACGTCAACTTTGTGAATATCTTGCGACCTTAATATATGTCTAAGAGGAAAATCATTTTCATTTCATCAGTTTGATATTAATATTATCAAATAGACATATTTGTTTAAATCCAGAAACTGTCGAAAAATGTATTTTTTGACACTTTTCTGGAATCTGGCCCACTGTGCAGCGAAGGGAAGTGCACTTCTTTGTCCTGCCACAGTTGTGTGGCGGACACTTCCTCCGTCCTCTTCCGTTTTTTGTGTGCTAGTGGGGGCGAGCTCAAACGATTCGGACCCGATCGCTCCTCCAGCACCTCCCTTCCTGCGGTCGTATAACTTTCCAAATTTAAATTAGACTCCACATAGATCTCACGAGAGTGATCGGTCGGTGTGTCCATCCCGGCAGAACCGCCTTACCAGGGTAAGGAGATTTCAGATACTTGGGGGTTGCCCCAGATACCCTCGAGGGGCCCGTTCTCCACCACGATTTTTGAATTACAAAATTGAATTTATGATCCAACCCCACTCCTTACGTCCTTACTGCGCTAAGCGGCGGGTGAACAGTCGCTGTGTTTGATGTATTGTCCGCCACATGGCGAGGCGACGAGTCGCCCTGTAAAAAAGGATAGGAGCCAGCACGCCCGCAATGAAAATCGATGCGCCTGGATTATAAGTAGAAGCGGTCGGGTCGAGCAAATCATACTTACCTGATCTCAGCGATTCTTTTTTATAATTTTGCAGAAAGTTCTTTTCAGCGCCTGCCTTTCTTGCTTTCATTGGTTGGATCATAAATTCAATTTTGCATCTCAGCCAAAAAAACCGTACAGCGGCAATCGAAAATGGATTTTAAAGCTAAGGACCAATACTATACGATACCGTTTTCTGAAGTAAAAAAAGAATATTTTGTTTCCCTACAAGAACTTCATAAAATTGACCACAATGGCCATTTTAGACCATTTTAGGCCATTAGACCATATAACCTAAAATTACTCAAAAACCTGACGTGCTAAAAAATTTCTGCGGTCAGATTTGTTTTCAGCGTCAAAAAACGTATAAGATACACCCCCTGTCATTTCTGTAACTGATCTTCGCAGGACTGTGTAATTAATTGCCATTTCAGGAGAGCGAAAGCGGACATCGTAAGGCTCTAGTGCTGTTACGCATACCGCGCGATTATGACCTCGTCCTTGAACTCGATTCGCTGGCTTCACGTAGAAAGTTTATTGCGAAATTGGAAACGTTCTTGGCGTCACAAAAAAAGTACTTCACACTTACTCAAATCGCACGGGACATTATGTTGGCAAAAGCGGAAACTAAAGAACGCCGACAAAAAAAACTGGAGCAGGTTTGTCCTTCAGTCTTCCTTTCGTATGCAGAATGTTTCGTAATTTTGGCACTCTGTTTACATAACGCTATTGTTCATGAGAACAATTGACATTTTTTTCTTAGCGAAAATGTCAAGAAAACGACATTAATTGTGGTGATTTTCAAAACTCTAACATAACACTTTTAAAGCTAAGCTTTAAATCAGAATTTTGTTAAAGTTAAGAATTATGTTTCTTTGCAATTGTCGATTGTTCGACATTTTTACTAAAACAAAAATTACATTTTCATAAAATAGTACTATATAAACAGTGGCTGCAAATAGGACATCCTCTTATATTTAATTTTTAAACAATTTCAGCATAATATTCCTTTGATGTATAGTTAAAAACATAGCTGATAGTTAAATGAAAAAACTTATTTATTAATTTCCATTTATTAATATCTTATATTAGATTATTAGTTGTATTTTAAATCGAGTAGAAAAGAACTTAAGTTATTGTAAAATTAACAAGAAAACACATAGAAGTGTCCCCCTCCGATTTTAATGAGCTTAAAGTATTTTCTTTCAGAGCATTATCAAAAATACATTATCAAAATGCATTATCAAAAATACAAGAAATGGGAAAGAACCTTCTGCATAAAAATTTAATGATTAAAAGAGTATTTCATAACGACGTATTCATTTTAAAAAATTGTTGAAATTTTAAACATCCACCACTAATCAATTTTTTTATAATCTAAATTTCGTTTATACTAAATGAAAGGATATTTTATATAGAATCTATCTATATGTAATAATACTATTTTCCGACATATGCATTTTTTGAAAAATAGGTGAGAACCTTTTCATGAACTCGTAATGTTATACGTGTAACCTATCACACCCGATATATATTTAACCTACCACACCCGATATATTGGGTTGGCAAATAAGTTCGTTCGGTTTTTGTTTCAGTATAAGTTTCATGCGGATTCGCTTTTCTTTTCTCGGTGCTATCGTGTAAATCGAATACACATGTGAAAGGTTATGTTTCACTGTTGTGCTGTGTTTGGTTTGGCTAACATCAGTATTGTGTGTGCTGCGTAGCTGTGAACATGGAAATAAATAACGTGCATTATCGTCACATTTTGATCTATTATTTTGAAAAAGGTCAACGAGCTGCGGATGCTCATAAAAATATATGCTGTATGTATGGAGATGATGCTTTAACAAAACGCGTATGCCAAAAGTGGTACGCCAATTTCCGTTCTGGAGATTTCGACGTCAACGATATGCCCCGTTCCGGTCGCCCGACCGAGATTAATTCAAATGACATTAGGGCTATAATCGAAGTAAATCCATCCCAATCGATACGAGAGATTGAATATACCCCACACAAGCGTAGAAAAGCAATTACGCCAGCTGGGATACGTTTCTCGGCTTAATGTTTGGGTGCAGCATCAATTAACCGAGGCTAACTTGACCACACGCATATCCATCTACAATTCGCTACGGAAACGACAAGAAAACGACCCATTTTTTAAACGAATGATGACGGGTGACGAAAAATAAGTCATCTACGATAATGTAACGTGTAAAAGATCAAGGGGGCACAGCGAGCCACCGCAAACAACCTCGAAAGAGGGGTTACATCCGAAAAAAATAATGCTCTCCGTATGGTGGGATTTCAAGGGTGTCATCTATTACGAACTGTTACCGTCAGGCAAAACGATTGATTCAATTATACAGGGTGTTTGATAGCTGATCATGCAGACGAAAGTTGGAGATAGATTGGGTGTAGCCGAGAAGAAAAGTCATGTACCATAATGTCAAATTGGGAATAGTTACCGAGTTATTAATTAAAACATGTGAGCCAATGAGCGCGTAGATAGCGGAGGGCGGCCGCAGTAAGCACGTAGACATTTGATACAGGCGGAGTCAGCGAGTGACGGTAGGCGAGCGCGCGCGGCGAGGGTCAACGTAAGCGACAAGAGGCGATCGCACGCGACGAGGAGCGAGCGAGCTTTTTCTTTATAGCTTTTTCCTTATAGCTCGCTCGCTCCTCGTCGTTCGCGCTCGCTCGCTCTTAGTCGCGCTCGCTCGCCTCTTGTCGTTTACGTTGCCCCTCGCCGCGCGCGCTCGCCTACTGTCACTCGTTGATTCCGCCTGTATCAAATGTCTACGTGCTTACTGCGGTCGCCCTCCGCTATCTACGCGCTCGTTGGCTCACATGTTTTAATTAATAACTCGGTAACTATTGCCAATTTGGCATTATGGTACATGACTTTTCTTCTCGGCTACACCCAATCTATCTCCAACTTTCGTCTGCATGATAAGCATTCAAACACCCTGTATACTGTTCGCAATTGACGAAATTGAACTAAGCAATCCGCACAAAACGTCCAGAATTGGCAAATCACAAGGGTATCATCTTCCACCATGACAACGCCAGACCTTATACATCATTGACCACTCGGAACAAATTGCTTCAGCTTGGCTGGGATGTTTTGCCTCATTCTCTGTATCACCGGATCTTGCTCCTTCCGATTATCATTTATTCCGGTCGTTGCAGAACTCTATGAACGGGAAAACCTTCAAGGATGAAGAGACCGTTAAAAATCACTTGGATTGGTTTTTCGCTGATAAGCCCAGACGTTTTACGAACGCGGCATAATGAAGTTGGTGGAAAGATGGCTAGAGGTCATCGATAAAAATGGTCAATATATAATTGATTAAAATTTATCTTGTGTGTCAAAAAATGGAGTTTTATTCTACTCTAAAAAACCGAACGAACTTATTTGCCAACCCAAAATTTGCAACATATCTTCTTCAAATTTTTTCATAATAAGAGACGATTATTAAATTGATATGTAGAATATGTAACCATAAGAATTTCATATGCAGGGTGTCTCATAACAATTATTACAGAGCTCGTGGAGACAGGGTTAAGACAAACATAAAAGTCCTATACCGTTTTGCGATATTTAAGATAATTATCAAGTTATTAATTATAGAGATCTAACGAGTGAGCGCGCGCCGAGATGGATGATTGGAAAAGCGTTGCAGCCGCTTGGACCACAGCGCGGTCCAATCGATTTAGTAACTGTTGCCCGTCTGCGGCGAAGAGAAAGATGACGCACCGCTATTGGTGTTTTATCTCGCCGCACCTATGTCTCGCCGTCAACCCTGTATATAAAATTCTTACGATTACATATTCTATATATCAATCTAATAATCGTCTCTTACCGTGAAAAAATTCGAAGAAAATATGTTACGAATATGTATCGGGTGTGGTAGGCGGTTATAGCGGTATAGTATTACCAGTTTATGAAAGGATTCTCACCTATTTTTCGAAAAATCCGTACGTCGGAAAATAGCATTATTACGTAGGCTGTTGAAAAAGTTTTTGCAATCTAATACTTGTAGTTGCGCCACCATTCTGCTACTATCATATCTGTAAAATTAAACGTTTCTAACCTATAATTCAGTTGACAGTTTGTATCTAGTCAACTAGTTTTGTTTGCACAGTATTTTAAAAGAAGTTATTTTGTGAGATAATGGAAATTTCGCGTGAAAATTTTCGGGCAATGATTTTTTACGATTACAAATGTAGTCTAACTCCGAAACAATGCATTAATCGACTTCATTTGGCTTTTGGGGATGAAGCACCATCCAATAGGACTGTTCATAATTGGTTTGCCGAATTCCAGCGTGAACGCATCTTTCTTAGTGACGAGTTTCGTGAAGGTCGTCCATCCGTCTATTGTTACCACTAATGTTGATGCTGTACGTGAAACGATTGAGCGAGATCAGCATGTGACATACCGCGAGATTCAGGCACCTTTGGGCATAGGCATGAAAGCAATATACACCATTTTACATGATCACTTGAACGTACGGAAACTTTGCAATCATTGGATCCCACACAATTTGACCGAAGCTCAAAACTAGGCTCATGTGAATGTAATGGTGCAATGAAATGCTCAAGAAGTTCAACCAAAGTCGGTCAAATTTGGACTACAACATCGTTACTGGAGACGAAACGTGGATCTATTCATATGAGCCCGAAAGTAAACAACAATCCATTGTTTGGATGTTTCAAAAGGAGTCGAAACCAACAAAAGTTGTTCGTTCACGCAGTGCTACCAAGCAAATGATTGCTTACTTCTTCGGTTATATCGGACATGTAGCAACCGTGGCTTTAGAGGATCGAAGAAATAAACTAGTAAATACTAATACAACAATTTGATTGCCAAAAGTCATCAATTGCGTAGAACAAACCAAAATCGTCACCTCATTCTTCATCATGACAACGCCAGCTGTCACTCAGCACGTCAAACCGTCGATTTTTTATCCAGTAAAAATGTCGAATTGATGACTCATTGTCTGTATTCACTTGATTTATCACCTAATGATTTTCTCTTTCCTAACATCAAACATAAGATGCGTGGTAAGCGATTTGTGTCGCCTGAAGCAGCTGTTGAAATATTCCGAACACTGGTTTCTGAGGTTACAACCTCAGAGTGGAAAAAATACTTCGAAAATTGGTTAGAGCGTATGCAGAAGTGCATCGATCTTAAAGGAGAATACTTGGAAAATAATAAAGCCATTTACCGTATTTTACATGTTTTTTTTTTCATATCGTTTACAGAAACTTTTCCAGCAGCTTACGTATAATATATATAGTTGGATATAAAATATTCTTTCATTTAGTAGAAATGAAATTTAGATTATAAAAAAATTGGTAAGTGGTGGAAGTATGTTTAAAATTTCAACAATTTTTTTGAAAAATTGAATACGCCGTTATGAAGTACTTTTCAGATTATTAAATTTTTATGCAGGAAGTTCTTTTCCGTCTTTTATACTTTTAATGATGCATGCTCTAAAAGAAAAATATCGAATTTTTTTAAAGAGATGTTTCATCTCTTTGAAGGCCGATTGGGCATGTACAAAAAATTCGTATCTCTTATTTTGCCTAAATTACTACATATTTCAAACTCATTAAAATCGGAGGGAAATACTTTCAAGTGTTTCTTAATTCATTTATGAATATATCTAAAAATTTATTTTACATCGAATATTTATTTTGGAAATATTAGGAGCGCAAAAAAGTTCTGAGTCCTTTTTTGCAAAATTCAAAATTTATTTAAAAACAAACAAAACTATATTAATCAACGAAATATTCCCCGTTTGCATCGATGACCTTTTGTCATCTTTCGGGCAGCTTGCGAATTCCCTGATGGTAGAAGCTCACCGGCTTCAAGGCGATAAAGTCATCAATGCATTTTTGTATCTCTTCAAGTATCACAAAATGTGTATCAGCCAAGAAATGCTGCAGAGACCGGAATAGGTAGTAATCGGAAGGCGCCATGTCTGGACTATACGCCGCGTGTGGGAGAAGTTCCCAGCTTAATGCAAAGATATGGTCCTGAGTCACTTTCGCAACATGTGGTCGGGCATTGTCATGAAGCAGTATCACTTTACGACGTCCTTTGCCAGTAAATGGTCTCTTTTCTTCAAACGCATCGCTCAAATTGCTCAATTGTTGCTGATAGCGATCTGCCGTTACTGTTTCACCCGGCTGTAACAACTCGTAATACAATACACCTTTCCAATCCCACCATATGCAAAGCAAAACCTTCTTGGCGTGGATATTGGTCTTTGGCGTCGATGTCGAAGGTTGACCAGGGTCAACCCATGATTTTTTACGCTTCGGATTATCATAAAGTATCCACTTTTCACCACCTGTAATGATTTGGTGCAGAAAATCCTTTTTCCGGAACCTTGAAAGCAAAGTGAGTGCCGTGTCACGCCGTCGATTTTTGTTGCCTTCGGACAGTGCATGCGGAACCCATCTGCCTTCCTTTTGAACTTTTCCCATTGCATGTAAACGTGTGGAAATGGCTTGTCGCGTAATGCCAAGTTGCTCTGCAAGCTCCTTTTCAGTTTGTGCAGAGTTTATATCCAACAATGCTTGCAGTTCGTCCGTTTCAATCTTTTGAGGGCGTCCAGCACGCGGTTCATCTTCAAGACTGAAATCTCCTTGGCGAAATTTTTGATACCATCTTTTACACGTAGCATAACTTACAGCGTTCTCTCCATATGCAACACAGATCATTTCAGTGGCTTCAGCAACATTTTTCTTCAGATGAAACGCGAAGTGGATGGAAAATCAAGTATGCTCTTTTGTTATTGCCATCGTGAACACTGCTGATTTTAAGATTATGTGCATCAAACGCCAAATCGCACGATGTTTTGAAAGACCAAATGTCACTGCTTTAAAACCGCAAGAGGGCGGGAAAATTAATGCAATTTAAATTGTGGTTTCAGTAGTATGAAATCTAGGGCTCAGAACTTTTTTGCGCTCCTAATAGTATTATATATAACAATATATTTGCTTAAAGTACAGTTTTGCAAGAATCGCAATAATTATCGAGTTATTAACGATAGAAATCTGAGGAGTAGAGGCGCGCCGAAATAGATGAATAGAGGAGCATCGCAGACACTCGAGCCATAGTGCGGTCCAGTCGATCCAGAAACTTGCCGATATGCGGCAAAAGGAAGGACGCGCCGCTATTAGTGTTTTATCGCGCTGCACTTACGTCTTGCCGCACGCTGCCAACAGTTACTGACGACTAGGCCACGCTATAACCCGAGAGGCTGCGACGCTTCTCCAATCATCCATCTCAGCGCGCACTCATTCGTCAGATTCTTATAATAATTAATAACTCTATAATTATGGCGAATCTCGCAAAACAGTATGGGACTTTTATGTTTGTCTTAATCCAATCTACCTTCACACTTCGGGTTGGCAGCTAATTACCGGACATCCTGTATATAAAACAACTAAAATTTTGATAGTATTACATGTGCAATAAATATTTAGTTTTTCAGAGAAGCGTACGCTTTGACTTTCGGCTTACGACCTGGTGAACGAAGACGGCGATCAGAAGATAATGATACTGGTGAGGTCGTTACAGTAATGCGTACGTCTCTTTCTAAGAGTGAATTCGCGAGTGCTCTCGGCATGAGGCCTGATGCAGTTTTTGTAAAGAAAATGTTTAACATTGTTGATAAAGATGGCGACGGCAGAATTTCTTTCCAGGTATAATCGTTTTACTAGTTTTACTAGTATTTATTACTATTACTTATATTAATACTAGTTTACTATAGGTAGTTTACTACTATTATTTTTATTGTTTTATCCAATTGTTATAATTCTCAGAATTGCGAATTTGATAAAAATTTATATCATTTATAATAATAATAATTATAATACGGAAATGAGAATTATATAAAACATTTAAAGAGCAAAAAGAAAAAATTTAATTTAAATAATAATGTGCGTGTGCGCAAGCGCATGTATGTGTGAATCCTACTTGATTTAAAGTAATATTAAACCTATTGATTTTCACACACATACACACATTATGCGTTTAATATAATAGGAAAAAAGAAAATGTATCGAAATTTCAATATAAAAGTTGTTTTTGAAAAATAATGCGCTATTTGTTACTTATTACTTATATCAAAATACTTATAACAAAAAAAGTGTTATTCAAGAAGTAACAGATATTATAATATCTACTTTAATATATATATAATATATAACTTTCATGTTAAATTTTGAAAATATTTTTACGAGTACCTTCTGTTCATGTTATATATGTGTGTTCTATTTGCAAAGGAATATTAAAATGATAAAATAACAATTATATTCGTTACCATTATTTAAAAATATAATTACTTTATTATTGTTACTAAAAATATCATTGTTACTAAAAAATTATAATTTTTACCGAATTGTTATTGAAAAAAAGTTACCATTACTGGTAAGAGTCTTACAAATAACGCGTTACTTATTAATCTCTGATTTCAAATTCAATATTCTGAAAATAATTGACGAAATAAAATTTAATATTTACGTCGACATTAAATATGTTCTTATGATAATATATGACTTTCAAATCTTATCAAATTAAATACAGTGATGGCAAAAGGTCGATTTTTTCGCCCATATATTGAACCACGAATTTCAAACTTTTTTTATGCCAAATAGTATTGTATGACGGGACATTAATCCTAGAGAAATTTTAAGATGAGCATAAGCACGGTTCTGGAGATATGGAGGGGTGAAAGTGATAGTCTCTCATAATCCATGAAAATACACGAAACTCTTCAAGTATACATACCAAGGAATAAAATATACCATATGTCCCAAAAGTAACGGATCACCCTAATAACTCTTCAGTATTGAAGTTTCAAGGAAAATGGTTTGAATAAAAGGTATAGGGATTTAAGTAAGCTACCGTATGACGACCTCTATTTTCAAGGTTATTTGAGGGTCAACTTGCGTTTTTTAAATGAGAACCTCTATTTTTTATTATATTATTTTTTTCTACCAATTAATTTAAACAACTTTTATTTGAAACATTTTTTTATTTGCCTAATATTTTTTGAGATATTTGAGGAAGACTTGATAACTTTTTCAATATTGAACTTATAATATCTCGCAAACTATTTGTTAGAAGAAAAAGTGGTACTAAACTTTCTTGCTTTATTTAGTTTCAAGAATATATTGTTACAATAGTACCTTAATTTTTGTTAATTTGATAACTTTGAAATTTCCAAAAATCAATAAGTTAACAAAAGTCAGGGCGCTATTGTCAAAATATATTCTTGAGAGTAAATAGAGTAAAAAAGTCTAGTACCACATTTTCTTCCTCAAATATCTCAAAAGATATTAGGCAAATAAAAAAATGTTTTAAACAAACGTTGTTCGAATTAATTGGTAGAAAAAAATAGTGTAATGAAAAATGGAGATTCTTATTTAAAAAACGCAAGTTGATCTTCAAATGACTTTGAAAATAGAAGTCAAGGTCAAAGTTAAGGTCATCGTAAGGTAGCTCATTTAAATTCTCACAACTTTTATTCAGATTATTTTCCTTGAAACTTCAATACTAAAGAGTTATTAGAGTGGTCCGTTATTTTTGAGACACATGATATATAACAAAATGAAACACAACAAAGTGAAACATCATTTCTTATGAATTTTTTTACGCCGTATTCAAATATCAGGTGTAGTAAAAAGAAATCCATTATTTTTGCATGAATTTGAAGGCTTTAATTACCATAGTTAGAATGATCCGATTTAGGTCAAATATGCGCCGTTTTGTTCGATTGTTGCCATTTTGAAGGTAATTTCATTATGCCTCTCTCATAGAAGCCCTCGTCCCTATTGTCAAAAAATTGAGACAGTCGATTTTCACAAGCCTCTCTTGAAGCGAATTTTTCACCAGAAAAATTGTTCGCCATGGACAGGAACAGATGGTAATCACTTGGTACCAGGTCCGGACTATAAGGTGGATGCATAAGAACCTCCCAACCAAGCTCCCGGAGCTTCTGGCGAGTCACTATCGATGTGTGTGGCCTGGCGTTGTCCTGATGGAACACAATTCCTCTCCTATTGGCCAAAGCTGGCCGCTTCTGGGCGATTGCTTCCTTCAGACGGTCCAATTGTTGACAGTACAGTTCCGAGTTAAGAGTTTTGCCGTAGGGGAGCAGCTCATAGTAGATAATTCCCTGCCAATCCCACTAAACACACAGCAAAACCTTCCTGGCCGTCAATCCTGGCTTGGCCACCGTTTCCGCCGGCTCACCGCGATTCGACCACGTTTTCGCTTGACGTTGTCGTAAGTGATCCACTTTTAATCACCAGTGACCAACTGCTTCAGAAATGGGTCGATTTTGTTGCGATTCAGCAGCGATTCGCAGATGGAAATTCGATCCATGAGGTTTTTTTTCGTTAACTCGTGTGGCACCTATACATCGAGCTTCTTTTTGTATCCAACCTTATTCAAATGGTTCCAAACGGTTTTTTGTGCAATCTTTAGCTCTTGGGCAATCGAAACAGTGCTTACATGACGGTCGGACTCGACAATGTCCATGATTTTATCGATATTTTCGACAATTGGCCTTCCAGTGAGTGGTGCATCTTTGACATCGAAATTACCGGAACGGAATCGACGAAACCAAAATTGTGCGTGATTGGCTGTTACAGTATCAGGACCATAAACACTGTTCACATTTTCAGCCGCCTGGCTTGCGTTTTCGCCTTTATCGAAGAAAAACTGTAATATATAGCGTATTTTCTCTTTGCTAGTACCCATCTTTGACGCGCGCTCAAACAAAACTGAGTCAACTAATCACAAAACTGTCAAAAAAGTTTTTTTAGTACGAAATCTCATCTTTCTAACGCCATCTAGTGGAACCCGATCGGACTTATACAACGCGAGATACAGATAACTAAAGCCATCTATTGGAAAAATAATGGATTTCTTTTTACTACACCTAATATGATATTAGTTTTCGTCTAGCATGAAAATTCCCCGAAACAGATGGAGTTGAAATGACACTTGACACCGCTTCTCACGGATCGGGAGGGTTTTTCTACTGTGAGTCGCTTTGTCTTTCACATATTGGGGTGCTTTTTAATGTGAATCCCCTTGCCTCTCACAGATTGGGATACTTTTTTAATGTAAGTCCCCTTGCCTTTCACAGATTGGCGTGCTTTTTCAATGTAAGTCCCCTTGCCTCTCATGCAGGATTGTTTTGTGAATCGTGATAGATATATTGCATATTTCAAGATTGGGTATTTGTATCCCATGGTACTGAACAAATCTAAGAAACCACACAATTGAATGACTGTAACAACCTACCGAGCACCACTTTAACAAGTATAATAGTACTCATGAATAGAATCCCGTCCAGTTTTTCCATTATCTATCAAAACAAAAATGTAATGATATTTACCACCACGGTAACGATATTTCATATGCGCCTTAATCAATGTAGGTTCTTCAACTGAGATGCCATACTTCTCATAGTTCAAAGCTGCTGACGGATGCTTCGGCCTTGGATTTAACTTATGCACCAAGAATATTCCTTCTTTCTGATGCTTTGCATAGTATGAAATCGCATTGCGTATTCGATAAGGTCCGAGACCCAAGTATTATAGTACAAATCATCTATCGAAAGTTCAGGAAATCCAATGAGTCAATTATTTTCTTCATTATTGAATGATGTATACTCGACTCCAAGGAATGGTGCTCTCAGTTGAGGAAAATTGAATTCTTGGACGATGATTTGCAAACGAGGGACGTTAAGTTGAGATATCAGAGTCTGTGCTATGCCCTCATGCGTGACATCACTCAGAATTGGTTTGTGGAATAAATTTATTAGGTGCGCAACTAAGTTCCCGCTGTTTTTCAAGAGATGGCTCCAGTAGTAAGTGCTGGTCGATTGTGACATAACCAAAACGTCATGAACCAAGTTTAGACATATGGTAAACAAACCGCTTTGACACATTAGTGATTTTGTTTTTGCGTCATATACTTTTGGTTGTGCGAAAATGTCTTATTTTGTGCCAAATAATCGTCATTTGCGGGAAGTGTTGCTTTTCTTCTTTCATTCGAAGAAAACGGCGGTTGAAGCGCATCGAGAACTCCAAAAAGTTTACGGAGATGCTGCTCTAAGTGAAACAACGTGCCGTGATTGGTTTCGTCGCTTCAAAGACGGTGATTTCGATGTTGAAGACCGTTCGCGTGAAGGAAGGCCAAAAACCTTCGAAGACGCTGAATTGGAGGCATTGCTCGATGAGGATCCGTGCCAAACGCAAAAAGAGCTTGCTTCAGCATTAGGAGTTACCCGCCAAGCCATTTCTAAGCGATTGCATGCGTTGGTAATGATTCAAAAACAAGGAACTTGGGTTCCTTATGATTTGAAGCCAAGAGACGTTGAGCGTCGTTTTTTCGCCTGTGAACAATTGCTCCAGCGGCAAAAAAGGAAGGGTTTTCTTCATCGCATCGTTACGGGTGATGAAAAATGGATTCATTACAGCAACCCAAAGAGAACAAAATCATGGGGACTGCCACGTCATGCTTCTACGTCGTCGGCTCGGCCGAATATTCACGCTGCGAAGGTTTTGCTGTGTATTTGGTGGGACCAGGGCAGTGTTATTTATTATGAGCTGTTGAAACCGAACGAAACCATCACTGAGGAACGGTATCGAACTCAATTGATGCGATTGAGCCGAGCACTGCGCGAAAAGCGGCCACAATACGAGCAGAAGCACGAAAAAGTGATTCTACAGCATGACAACGCTCGGCCTCACGTTGCCAAACCCGTTAAAACCTACTTAGAAACGCTCAAATGGGAAGTCCTACCCCACCCGCCATATTCCCCAGATATTGCGCCGTCCGATTATTACTTATTCCGTTCGATGGCACATGGTCTGGCTAATCAGCAGTTCCGCTCATATGAAGACATCTCAAAATGGCTTGATTCGTGGATAGCCTCAAAAGACGAACACTTCTACCGTGACGGTATTCGAGCTCTGCCAGAAAGATGGGAAAAAGTTGTCGCTAGCGATGGGCAATATTTTGAATGATTCATTTGTAACCATTTTTTCACAATAAAGTTGCATTTTCATCAAAAAAACAGCGAGAACTTAGTTGCGCACCTAATAAAAGAGCAAAAACGATATAGAAAGAATCGAGGTCGTGTTTGAAAGTTGTATTACGTACTGACAAAAAATAAATCTTGAATTTCTTCTTGAGGCGACCGAAGACTTGCTCTATCATCCAGCGACATTTGGTTATACATCTTGAAGCATTTGCTTCTGCGGTATTAAGTTGGACAAATTCTGGACAATAAGTTTTCAAATTCTTCTCTTTAGTTAGAAAATTTAGCACATCACGAAAACCTCTATCAACTAATCGTATCACCCTCATGAATAATACTCATGTCGTTCGCGTACAATCTCTCTGGAAACAATCCTGCAATATTATCGCATCATTATACATTACGTCAAATGGTCCAGAAACGTATAGAACGAAACCATTTGAGGAACAACCTACCATAAATTTGACCAGCGGCATTTTTTCTGCTTACTCCACAGTTGTTTTTGTCCTGCATAATTCGCAGATTTTTGGGCCAGATGATAGGTGGCATCGAATACTATGCAGGCTTTATCGTTAGGAATGTCAAATAGTACTTTTGACATTGGTGTCATATGAGCAAGGAATACTGAACGATCATTCCGATTGATGAATTGTGGAACGAGGTTTTTGTGCAAATTTTCTCTTGCTGAATTCATATGATTTTCAATAGTCTTGCGACAAACACCGAATAAGAATGAAAGTTGTTCATCAGAAAGAGAAATTCACATTTTACAAAGTAAAACAGCAACGTGCTTAAGCTGACATATTAAAAACTGCAGGAAAAACTGCATACAGTTTGAAATTGTTCTTTATCGTGAGTAAACCAATTTTTGAATATCGTGTCATTAATAGAATCGATATTATCCATATCGAATATCTTTTCATTTTTCTCTTTCAGTTCTTGATAGTAAATACCCTCACGAAAAAAACACCTAATATTGGATATAAAACTACTCTCAAACAAACCTTCAACAGATAGATGTAAATTCGAATCTTCATTGGTGGTCAACACGCAAATGAGGGTTAACTACAAAAAGAACCATCAAATGAGGATATCCTCAAATGAGTGTACTTCCAAATCTAAGTATCCTCAAATAGTGATATATCCTAAAATAGGGTCACTTCCAAATAAAGGAAATCCGTAAACAAGGATTGATTCTAAAATATTTCTATTAAATTAATAACCGTTTATAAAATCATTACCTTTGAATTCAGAAAATGTTACCACTGAGTTTGTAGTTCGATGGATTTAAAAAATAACAAAAAATGTGAAATAATGGTTCGCAGTCGAGTTTGAGTAAAAGAATTAACTGATATTTCTCAAAATAGAGTCGTTAGTAATTGTTTATAATGCTATCCGTTTCATTTACAATTTTCACTTACAGTCAAATCGCCGAGAAAGTTAAACAATTGAGAAAATGGTCACAAAGTTTGCTATTTATTGAGATATATGTTCATAAGTCTCAACATGTAACAAAATTAGCTTTTGGCTATTCTTTTTGAAATTGTAACTTTTGAACGGTTTGACTATAACCAAACAGAAAGCAGTACAAATTACGAACGATTATGCATAGAGATACATCAGTGAATTTTGGATGCAAATCATTAATTTTCTATATATAAATCGTCATCAATACATATGAATAATTGTTGACAACTTTTACATATATATTTTCCTATTTATGTGTGTGAGTAGAAAAGTATAGTAGAAAGTAAACACAGAGAGAACGATTTAATTGAATCTAACAAATGCTTATTTGGAATAGTCAAAATAAATTTTTTGATTGATCGAAAATTTTGTTTGATGCAACAAAAATATTTTGTTGCGACTTAGTTCCAACGAAACTGGTACATAAAGGCTGTCGAAAATTATTCGTATGTAATGACGATTATTATCCTTTTTTTATTTTTATCTTTTTTTTATAACACTAGGGAAATCCTCATGGATACCTGCCCCTTGGGGGGGGGGCGGGTTATGCCGGACTCTTACCGGCTAAAGCCCTACCGGGGTGTCTACCTTTCGGACCGGAATAGGGGGAGTCAGGGGAACTACTCCCGTATTCCTTCTCCAACACCCCGACCCCAGTGACGATTATTATCCTAAACCTTATTTATACAAAAATTACTATATAAAGTACATATTTATTTTATGAATAACACTTGGGTAAAAGCCGAAAATAACCCAGGTTACACGTTTACACTTTATTATTTGACAGCAACATCAAAAATAACACCCAAAATCAAAATCACAATTATTTGACAATAACACGAAAAAAATCATAAGTTGACAATCATACTCTATAGAGTCTGATACTGAATTATTTGACAATAACACCAAATATTACACTCAAAGTGAAGATCACATCCAGTTGTTTGAAAGTAATACCAAAAATTACACTCATCTTGAAAGTCATACTCAATCGACGCTTATGTACTTGATGGTATCACCGAAAATAACACCCTAAATGAAGGTAACATCCAGCTATTTTCAGGGTAACACTTAAATGACAACAAAATAACACCAATCTTGATGATAAACTTTCAGCTGACACTGAAGTTGACGGTAAACATCAAAATTTTCGATATTTTTTCCGTGAGGGTAAACATAAGGTTACTCACTGTTTTTTGTTCTTCAGCATTTACTTTTGTAATTTACTTTACAAGTGGCCAAAATGTAGAAAATATCGATATGATTGCTACACATACGAGCATCATTTTTGGTCAAGAATTTATAATCCATGAGCAGCTTATAACGGATAATTCGGAGAAATTGAGATCAACTTCGGGGGGTTTTCGCAGCCAAAAGTACATCGTGAGTGAGAATTAATACCTTGATGAGAAATCGAGAGATCAGGTGTATCTGGATTATTATCCGCCTAGGATCTTGAGATGATTTTTGATCGATTATTAAGTTGGTAACAATTTTTACATATTTTGCTCTGTGATGAAATATGGTTCAATTCTTCTAATTTCCGTTTCTTCGGATTATATTGGGTGAGTGCAAAAGTTCGTGCGGAGTTTCAATAGATGGAGTTATAAGCGTCGTAAAGTGTTGTCATTAATACTTCCATCTACATATTATATAACGTTGGAAAGGTGACGTCTTCAGCTGTTATCCGCAATTCAGCTGTTATCCGTTATTCAGCAATATATCCGCAAATTGTTAACCATCATCAACGAATTCAATATGTCTTCGATAGGAAAAAACTTATCATTTTTCGATCTTTTTTGATCATTATAGCCTAAACATTTAGTGAAAGGCATTGCTTTATTGAAAAATCAACGATCGTCAGGATATGAAAAAATATACCTGGAGAGACAAGAGAATGTAGAAAAAGTTGGGATGAAACAAAAGAAAAATAGAAACTCACTTCAGCAATCAACAAACAAGAAAATGGAGAACAAAGAAACAAGTAACATCAGAATAAACGAAAAATCAATTGAGAATATTATAGTCTTGAGCAAGACAAACTATAAAAAAGGACTCCAATCAGGCTTATCGAAAATATAATGATGATTTCCGACACCCAAATACATAAGATTGTTCACACAATCTGCGGAATATACTTCATATGATAGTAAAGTACTTCAACTGCGAGAGAACTTGTGAGTGCGTCATGCAGCGAGACTCTGTCTTTCAATTTGAGTATTTCCTCGGTAATTGCATTGCTTCAAAGACTTGGTCAGTGATTAATAGGGAACATATTTTCGGGGTGCTTTATAAAGCACCCCCCTCCCCTCCCTATAAATGAAATAGCGGTAAATATGACTTGATATTGATCGTTCATTCTCCGAACAATAAATCGTAGATGATCTATTCGACAAAAAATATCCTCAATATTACATGAACTTCAACCTTATTTCATTCTTCCTTATGCAATATACCCTGATTGGAAACTATCACTTTCACCCCCTTGTATCTCTGGAACCGTGTCTATGCTCATCTTGAAATTTTACTGGCATTAATATTTTATCTAATAGTACTATTTACCATAAAAAAATTTGAAATTCGAGGTCCAAAAAATGGGCGAAATTTGCCATTACTTTTTAACGGTAAATAATTTATAGAAAGCAACATTACTATCAAAAGCAACATATTGCAGGAATTCTTAGATACGGTCTTGTTATTTTCTCGTGGCAAAACCGAGGATAAATTGCGTATCATCTTTGATATGTGCGATAAAGATAGCAATGGTGTGATAGATAAGGAAGAATTGTCAGAAATGTTAAGGTCGCTAGTGGAAATAGCACGTACCACGAGTCTCTCAGATGATCATGTTACAGAACTGATTGATGGCATGTTCCAAGTATGTCTTTATTATTTGACACACACACGATATCTATTATTAATTCTACTTACACATATTAATTGAATTGATCGTGGTTTAGGATGCCGGACTCGAGAGGAAGGACTATTTGACGTACAGTGACTTCAAGTTGATGATGAAAGAGTACAAAGGAGATTTCGTCGCTATTGGTCTCGATTGTAAAGGTGCTAAACAAAATTTCCTCGACACATCAACAAATGTTGCGCGTATGACTAGTTTTCATATCGATCAACTTCCACCGGAAGATTCCAAAAGTTGGACGCGTAAACAATGGGACGCTATATCAACTTTTCTCGAAGAGAATAGGCAAAATATATTTTATCTCTTCATGTTCTATGTGGTTACCATAGGTCTTTTCATCGAAAGGTTTATTCGTAAGTATCCGATAAAACTCAAACGTTTTTAAACAGATATTTGAGTTTATGTAAAAAAAAAAGTCTTTTAGTTGTTTGATCGTATATTGTCAACTATGTTTTATTTATTTTTATTTATCTACAGACTTCAATCTTTTTTTTTAGATTACTCTTTCATGGCGGAACATACGGATCTGAGACACATAATGGGTGTAGGAATTGCTATCACCAGAGGATCTGCAGCTGCATTATCGTTTTGCTACAGTCTTTTATTGTTAACGATGTCGCGTAATTTGTTGACAAAACTCAAAGAATTTTCAATTCAGCAATACATCCCGCTAGATACGCACATACAATTTCACAAAATTGCAGCATGTACAGCACTTTTTTTCTCTGTGCTGCATACAGTTGGTCATATAGTCAATTTTTATCACGTTTCTACACAACCGATAGCACATCTTCGTTGCCTTACTAGTGAAATCAGCTTCCCTAGTGATGCACGACCCACTATTTCTTACTGGCTATTTAGAACAGTAACAGGTATGTATCGCTCGCGGATAAATCTCTGTTTATGAATTCCTACGAGTGAAATGTCTTAAAATTGCACTTGTTATTCCTAAATTATACGATTATCTTATTTCATTCTCAGTTTTGTTGCAGGTTTAACTGGTATACTTCTTTTCGTTGTCATGACGATTATTTTTGTCTTCGCGCATCCGACTATACGACAGAAAGCTTATAAATTCTTTTGGTCGACGCACAGTCTCTATATGCTTCTGTATACATTGTGCTTAATTCATGGTTTGGCACGTATAACAGGTTCCCCACGATTTTGGATATTTTTCACCGGCCCAGCAATTATTTACGCGCTAGATAAAGTAATTATTTACTTATATATATATTTCTTAAAAATATCATAGCATTGATAAACAGTATTTCCAACAATATTTCTTTCTACTTATATACGAAGCACACATTATGATATATAAAATTATAAATTGGTTATGCGTACAAACTGATATAACAATTCTATATATTATAGCTGAGTAATATTTATTAAGTTAATAAATCCTGTTCGATTGTTACTTAAGATTCAATACTTGTTATTATAAAATGATATATAAAAAATATAATAGTATACATGATATATCAACATTCACTCCTATTGTTGTTTACATTACAGGTCGTAAGTCTACGAACTAAATATATGGCTTTAGATATTATCGAAACCGAATTATTACCTTCGGACGTACTAAAAATCAAATTCTACAGACCTCCGAACTTAAAATATTTATCAGGTCAATGGGTACGTCTTGCCTGCACTGTCTTCAGATCGAACGAGTTTCATTCTTTTACATTAACTTCAGCACCGCATGAAAATTTCCTGTCGTGTCACATCAAAGCTCAGGGTCCGTGGACATGGAAACTGCGAAATTATTTCGATCCTTGCAATTATAGTCCAGAAGACCAACATCCGAAAATACGTATAGAGGGTCCATTTGGCGGAGGAAATCAAGATTGGTATAAATTTGAAGTTGCAGTAATGGTCGGTGGAGGTATTGGAGTTACTCCTTATGCTTCTATGCTCAATGACCTCGTGTTTGGAACATCTACCAACAGATATTCTGGAGTCGCTTGTAAAAAGGTGAGATGAGGTTAATATTACATTATTTGCTATTTTCCACTAACAGTATGATTCATGGATCATTTGTAGATAGTAATACTTCACTCTCTATGTACAAGTAAAGGAAATCGGGAATAAATTTTGTATCATTATTTAAGATCATTTTTGACCATTCGAAACAGTTTTAGTAAAGTTTCTAATTTTTTTAGCAAAACCTGAAGGAAAACAATATTTTCCTATTTCCAGAAAAAAATTCATATTTTAACGCAATGAAAGAAAAAAATTCTAGGACCACATTCTTGATGGATGACCCCTCACAAGAAAAACAGCAATGTTTATTGAAGAAAGATAAATATCTTAAAATTGTAATTTTTTGGACATTGCCGAAGCAAAGTGGTTTTCTTGAACTTTATGAATCTTAATGAAGGAAAAATGTTCTTTAGTTTATATGATTTTTGGCATTTTTTCGTATAATAATCGTTATTACGGTCTACGAGGGTGGTCCCAGAAGTACTTAACCTGACGTATAGATAGTGGTTGTTGTTTGAAAAGAATGACTATGGTAGAAAGTACCAACCTTAAAAAGCTTAAGTTTGAAGTTTGACGGCACTACGTTGTTTAGTATTTGTTTGGCAGCCATCAATAGTGGACGCTCTCAGTGAATTTGTAAACATGGAAAAGATTGGTCATCATTATGTGATACAATACTTTCATTTGAAAGGCCTCAGTCCAACCAATATCAAAGCGGAGTTAGATTCTATTCTGGGGGAGTCTGCTCCTTCGTTTACAACAGTAAAATATTGGATGGCAGAGTTTAAACGAGGCCGTACGAGCTGCCAAGACCAATATCGCAATGGTCGACCAAATGAGGTGACCACGCCAGAAATGGTGAAGAAAATCCACAAAATGGTATTAAATGACCGTCGACTGAAAGTGCGCGATTTAGCAGACATGGTAGGCAAACATGGTAGGTTAGCATGGTAGGTTAGCAGGCATGGTTTCAAAAAGTGCATCGCATATTGACTGAAAATTTGGACATGAGAAGCTGCGCGCAAGATGGGTGCCGCGATTGAAACAAAAACAGCGTCGTGAGGATGTTTCAATCAAGTATTTGGCGAAGTTTCGCAGCAATAAAGCCGAGTTTTTGCGTCGATTCATAACCATGGATGAGACATGGGTCCGTCACTTCACACTTGAGACGAAGGAATAGTCAAAACAATGGATCAAGGTGGTTTGATGGCTATTTTGAAGAGCTCAACGATTCCCACTATAAACAGGGTATCGAAGCTATTGAACATCGCTGGGAAAAGTGTATTGAGCTAAAAGGAGACTATGTAGAGAAATAAAAATATTTTTTCCCAAATTTTTTATGTTTCCTTTGTTAAGTCAGGTACTTCTGGAGGGACTACCCTCGTATAAGCAAAAATATTCATACTTATAAAAAAGAAAATGAACAATAAATATTAGTGTTTATTAACGTCGTGATTCATGGGTTATTTAGGGAATACTTGCAACTTTAGTTATTTTCAATCTTACAATAAACTGATGAAATCAATGCTCGCAATTTATTTTTTTATAAGGCGTCGTTCCTAACTTATTCAAATATAACAATTAATTTAAATTTTGACTGTTCTTTAAGAGAATGTTGGATACTGACACAATGCAACTTCTGTAACTTGTACTACTCTTCTATTTGATTGTATAAAAGTGTAAATACTTTTACAGTATGAAATGTCAATTAATTTAAGAATATTTCATGTTATATTACAAATAAAAAAAATCTGTGAGCAGAAAAAGAGAACATGACGGGAGGGAGATAAACACTTAAGAAGGGTGGAAGAGAGGGAGGAAGAAAGAAGAAAGAAAGAAAGAAAAATTATATATTTTAAAGATAATTATATTATATTATTATAAGATTTATAAATATTTATTTTAAAGTTACGGATTTCTAAATTTAATTATAAATTAAAAAATTGAGAGTTGAACATTTTCTAAAATGTAGTGTTAGTAAGAAAATTTAGTAAGAAAATTTTCTATTGAAAACAAACATGTGCAATAAGGTGTCGATAGTTTCAATATTTAAAAATTTGTTTTATTAGCTAAAAACTATTATTTGAAATATTTTAACAATAAATAAATGTATTTTAAATTTAATGATTCGTATAAAAGAGGCTTATTTTACAAAACAAATAATATTATTTGTTTTTCATTGACAGGTCTATTTTCTATGGATCTGTCCGTCGCACAAGCATTTCGAATGGTTTATTGATGTCCTCCGAGATGTTGAGAGAAAAGACGTTACAGATGTTCTTGAAATTCACATATTTATTACGCAATTCTTTCACAAATTTGATTTACGTACTACCATGTTGGTAAGTAAAATTATATTGACATTTTTATAGGATTAATGACATAGTAATATTACGTATAATTTCTCTATTAATTTTAATTAATTGTCTATGTTTAATTTCACATATGTAGTACATATGTGAAAATCACTTTCAGAGGCTATCGAAGAAAAGTATATTTACTGGACTCAAAGCTATTAATCATTTTGGTCGGCCAGATATGACATCGTTCCTGAAGTTTGTCCAAAAAAAACACAGCTATGTATGTCGATAATCAATTTTTAAGAATATAACGTACAATGCTTAAAGAATAAGTACAATTATTAAAGAACTAGGGCATATTTTATATTATATTATATTATATTATATTATATTATATTATATTATATTATATTTCTCTTTTATCTGTTGACGTAATCTCAAAGTTACATGTATTTATTTATTGAGTAATTATCATTGTTGCTTAGGTTAGCAAAATAGGAGTATTCAGCTGTGGGCCACGTCCTTTAACAAAGAGTGTTATGTCAGCTTGTGATGAAGTCAACAAGGGCAGGCGCTTACCGTATTTCATCCATCACTTTGAAAACTTTGGCTAATCGAACAAGCTGCTCTTTTTTATAAGAAATTGTGAAAGTGATCCATAATAATTTGTAGACAATTTCGATGATTTATTATAAAATGTACATATTTATATACTATATATATTATATATAGTATATAAATATATATATTATATAGTATATATATTATAGTATATATATATATATTATATATATATTTATATGTGCTATGGCACTATGTTTTATTATTTAATAATTGCAATAAGTATTATATTTCTTATTTATAAACAATATAAAAAATAATGTTTGTCCCATCTTTTCTCCTGTTTTAGTCCTTTTGAATTTGAACTGAATAGAAAAAAAAATTTAATCATATTTCTTGTGGTTCTTCCCTTTTTACTCTCCATAGATCATTACAATTTACAAATCTATATTTTCCTAATTGTAATGTAAAAATGTTGAAAATAACTTCTTATAAATAGCTTGAATCACAAGAGAATTGTTTAAAAAACGTACTCTAAATTTCCCTGTTTTATTAAATGATATTATTATATAACTACTATATTCATCACACACACACACACACACGCACGCACACGCGTATATACATATTGAAATATTTAATGACGTTGTAAAAATTCAATAAACATGGCTATCCATCATATTTAGCGATGGATTACCCATTAATAGTTCTACGTGCAACTGGTGGAAATGGATACGACCAGTTACTCTTGTTAACTCCATCACTAATTTCTTGAGGAAATTCGGATAATTCGTGCGACATATATCCTCGATTAACGACACCTTCGAAATCCTCTTTTGCAGAGCGTCTATTTTGAAATTTAGACGACAACTGGCTGAAATATTTTCAAAATGACATAGGATATAGTACAACATCGAAAAAATAAGTTACGAACTGACTTGTAAATTAGATCGTAATGCGAACCTCATTATTCGATCGCCAAACGAATCTTCGATGTTAGGAACTTTTCGTTTAATGTTGCGTGTATCAAAACTTTCCTCTATGATAACATGTCTGTCATACGGTGTATCGTAATCAACTTCGAGTATAGTCGAGAATTGATGGGGAAAAATTAAATCGATAGCTGTTATTATAAATCCTGCTAGAAGACACGCAGTACCTGCGAAAGTACCACAGTCGTTTATTCAATATACATGTATAGTATTATAATCAAACATTTAACGTAAAATACAAACCAGCTAATAGCACCAACCAATAATTCCAACCGAATTCGAAAGAGAGAATTGATCCTTCTACATGAGCTATCAAAGGCTCAGGTAGAAGTGTCGTGTAAATTAAATTTGTTAATAACATACACAGGCCCGTAAAAATCATACTATAAGCTCCATATCGTGGTACTACCATAAGTAACAAATTCATCATCATCCACGAAGCAAAGGAAGTCCTACGAGAGAAATAATTTATTAGTTTTAATTTACTTCCAATTTTATTTATCTCAATAACTTCCAGTTAATTCATAATCTAAATATACAAAAATATGTTAATGATCTTTTAAAATAACTAATAATTTTAAATAATTGAAGTATACCATAACATTATTGAAGCGTAATATCCTGCTGCACGATAACTACCGCCCCAAGAAAAACCTTCTTGATGAAGACTGAAATATTCCGCCAAAGACACGATAGGAAATGGTGCACCTTGATAAAGAGCCTGCTTGAAAGAACTAGTCATTTCATTGGAACTTCGCCACCAAAACCGTTCGTTATATTCAACATCGCCGGATTCTTTGTTTCCCGGCAATACTATGAACATAAATTCTAATTAACATAACAGACCGATTTACAAGAAAATAATATAAGAAAATATTAATATTTTTATGGTCTTTTCTCTCTTTTAATTCTACAATATATAAAATAAGTCAAACTATTCCTCAATTTTAATTTTCGATATTATCCATACAGCACAGAAATGTTGCAAGAAAACTGCATAAACATTACATTATAATATTGTAATAACATGGAAATTATAAAATATTTCTGCAATGTTCTGCAAGATTGTAATAATGCTAAAATATTCGTTTTTAGAAAAAAAAATATAATAGGACATTATAGCAATACTGAAATATGTGCACTCAAAAACATTGGAATAAAACATTACATCATCGTTATAGTAAAATGTAATAATTCCATATATATTATATCATATATATACCAAATGTTTCATATACATTTTTTTTCCAAAACAAATTCTTGCACAAAATAATTTTATTCTTTTGGGTTGGCTAATAAGTCCATGCGGTTTTTCTCGATAGATGGCTTCAAGGCGCTCTGCTAAGCTTTATCTTCAGTCGAAAGTCTTGAAAGCATACAGTCATTGACAGATGACATTTCAACGTGCATTTAAAAAATATACGTAAATATTGCTTGTGTATCTTGTGTGTGTGCGTCATCTGAAAATGGATGTCCAGAACAAGCATTTTCGGCATATTATGCTTTTTTATTTTAAAAAAGGTAAAAACGGGGCGAAAACCTGTAAAAAGATTTGAGCAATATATGGTGAGGATGTCGTAAAAGAACGCGTGTGCCAAAAGTGGTTTGCGAGATTTCGTTGCGGAGATTTTTCCGTCAAAGACAAACCACGCTTAGGCCGACCAAATGAGATCGACAGTGACAAATTGAAGGCGGTAATCGACACTAATCTACACTACACGACACGGGAGATTGCAGACGTTCTCCAAATATCGAAATCGAGCGTGGAAAATCATCTGCATGAACTTGATTACGTTAGCCGTCTCGATGTTTGGGTTCCGTACGAACTGAGCAAAGCTCATTTAATCCAACGCATTTCCATCAGCGATTCACTCTGAAAACATGAAAAAAGCGATCCATTTCTGAAATGTATAATAATTGGCGACGAAAAGTGGATCGTCTACAATAACATCAAGCGCAAAAGATCATGGGGACACGCAAAAGAGCACAGCGAACCACCACAAACTACTTCGAAGGCAGGGCTTTACCCAAGCAAGATCATGTTTTCAATTTGGTGGGATTGGAAGGGTGTTGTGTTCTACGAGCTACTTCTGAAGAACAGAACAATCAATTCAGATGTGTACTGGTAGTCAGCTGGATAAATTGGATGCAGCGATCCACGAGAAGCATCCAGAATTGGTGAGTCGTAGAAGCGTCGTCTTTCACCAACGCTAGGCTACACACATCTCTACAAACCCAACAAAAATTATTGGCGCTAAACTGGGATGTCTTATCACATCCTTCGTATTCTCCAGATATTGCACCTTCAGATTACCATCTGTTTTGCTCCCTTAAAAATTCTTTGAATAGAAAGCACTTCGTTTGTGAGGAAGCTGTTAAACGACACTTGGAACAGTTTTTTGCTCAGAAAGACAGGAAGTTCTTTGAACGAAGAATTATGAAGCTGCCCGAAAGATGGCAAAAGATAGTAGATAACAACGGGCAATACATAATTGATTAAAGTTATTACCTTCTTTAAAAATAATCATCGATCATTTGTAAGTAAAAAACCGCATGGACTTATTGGCCAACCCAATATCTTATTATTTTCTTATTTTTTAACATAGAAACGACGTCCTCTTTCTCTCTCTTCTTCTCTCTCTCTCTCTTCTCCTCCCCCTCTCTCTCTCTCTCTTTCCCTCTCTCTTTCTCTCTATTTCTTTCTCTTTCTCTCTTTTTCTTTCTCAATTATGAGACACCTAATATATATTTATTGACACTTACACTTGTACGTTATATTAATATGCATTAAACCGATGTAACCACCGATGTCGGCCATCGTCTTTTGCTTAGAGAAAGCGCTATAAGAACTGACAATGCTAGCGGAACTCGTATGCCAGGATGAACCATATTGCGCCACTGCATGAATGTAAAGTACGATAGTTATTTTTCTGCGCATTAGTATCATTATACGTGGTTATCTCAATCAACCGTTTTAGAAAGATCCTACTACTTTATAACACAACAACAACAAAAATTAGCTTTAAATATGCGATGAATAGTGAAAGTCAACAATAGCATAACTGATTTAAAAGTTTCTCTCTCTCTCTTATTTCACATCTCATGGATTTGAAATAAGTTTACTTTAGATTTTGATTATTCTTCACTCTTACGATCCTTTCAAACTCAATCGTAATTTTTATAAAAATATAAAGCAATATATGTACGCTAAATGAAGGACAGATGATATGACTTGACACCTCGGATGAATTAATATCCTTATTCTCTTTTTTTCCTTCTATTTTTCTGTTTCTTTTCATTTTTTTCCTTTTCCTTATCTTGATGAGATCTTTTCTTATCTGGAGATTCTCGTCAAATCTTAGCAAGATCAAACTTTTTCGGGCTGTTAGTTATACTATTAACTACAATCGAAATCTAATTTGAAAAGCAAACAAAATGCACAAACCTTGAATTGTCGCACCCACGAAAAGACTTAGGGTAACCGTGAGAAATGTAGTTAACCGCTACAGCAAAGAAATATTCGAGTAACACGATTAGAATTCGTAAAATAGTTTAAACAATTACAGTTCATATATATTATTAGTTAAAAAAAATGCTCACCTCTTTCCTGACACCCGGAAATATGACTAGAAATGCTGTGAATAGAGTGCCGAATATTACGAATATAATGAGAAGAGGAACGTCACCTGTGACGGGAGTTCGATTGCTGTAGCTATAAAGTGTCGGACCGCCATCATTGCGAAAAGCATCAAACCATCCCTTCATCTTCTCAGATCAGTTTTGAGTTTCTAAATTCTGAGATCCAGAGAGGATTCCAATGCAAAACTTTAATATGAATATTCAATTCTGGACAAAGAAATGCAAATTATAAATAAATTATAAATAAATGTTTCTTCACATGTTGTTCCGCGTATCATCTATTTTATCAAAACAACAAATAAATGTTTTTAATCAACAGAATAGAATAGAATACTGATAATATATGAAGATCTCACACAATGTAAAAATGTTTAAAAAATATTGTGAAATTGTTTAATTTTCATTGGAGAATTTCGATGTTTTTTTAAATATCTTTAGAATTTTCACATTATTTGGGTAATATCGTCTCGCTTTTCCAAGTGACATTATCAAAGTAAAACTTCGAAATGAAAATAATTATATCTCCGATATGTTATTACAAATCGTGATTTCGTGGCCGCAGCGAGTCGAAAGAGAATGTATCCAATTAACCTTTATATATATATAAAGATTTTGAGGAAGATTACCTACGACTATCAGATACGTTTATCGGTATTCAAGATCGAAGTTGCCCAAATTTTCGAATGCGACGTCTGTAAAGTCTTTGCATCAAAAGCACACTCGCGCACTGCACAACGTGAAGAATCGAATGCGGTGAATGTACTGGAATCCGAGTAGGTTAACAGGCTCTCTCTACTTGGAAAGCGGTTTCCACTAACTAGCAGAGACGACCTCGTACGTTACTTCGGAGAGAGGGTGATACCGCAGGTGGGGCTGTCATCGCGGTCAACGATGGAAAGAAAGAAGAGAGAAAGGAAAAAACGAAGAAGCAGCCGTGTGAAGCAGGTTTATTTATCAACTGATTCAGTTTTCCTATTCGCTCCAAACTCATTTCTGTTACTCATTTAAAGGATAAGCTTTAAATGATATGACTTTAAGAGTCATTCATTATAATAAATGAAAAGAATAAATGTCGAATAAACGAATTTTTTTGCTAGCTATCGTAATCATATGTTATATATGAACTGTTGTGTACCTATAAAAATGTTGAAAAATTGTAATGGTTTTAAATCTTATTAAAATAGCATATTTAAAATTAATGGAATGTACATCGATACTAATTAACATTAGATATTTATACATCTTGTTTTAACGACTAATCTTTTTTATTTTGATTGCTTAACAATTAAAAATTGATTGAGGATTATTATTTTCAAAGATTACTACTTTAAATATTTATCTTAATTACTATTTTCGTACAATATATTATTGTATGACTTTCTTTTTATATTTAGTGAATTGCTATCAATAATCTCGTTTGAAGTATGGTAATGATTTTAACACAATATTTCTAATCTTACCGGCAAGATGCTATCAAATCGGATAATTAAATTGAAATATAAACAAGACAAGGTGATTCTTTAATATGTGGACAGGATGCGAATATGTTCTACGTATTAATAAAAATATGATAGCAAATGTAAATATGTTGCAAATAATTGTGCAATTATTTATTTCCTTGATAACTTTTTGGAAATATTTGTTTACTAACTGTTAGTTTTCAATTATATGCAGGGTGTAAACGAGTAAGTGATCTAACTTTTTACCACACTATTTAACATTATCGATAGCACTGTAGTTAATCGAGTCGCGTACAGATGTTGCACGCATCATGTTATTATCGGCAAATTCAGATAGTTAACTTCTTGGCTGCTTAAAGGTCCATCTACAATGGCTGCAAGAATAAAGTTATAAGCATAAGCAGTAAGAAATGGACCAACCATAAAGGTCATTCTACAATACGCGTCGTAAGCCGTAAGAATTGGCGAATCACAGTCGATTATTACAAAAATAATCGGCTATAATTGGTCAGTTCTTACGGCTTACAACTTACGACACGTATTGTAGAATGACCTTAAAGCGTCGTCTACAATGGCAGTAAGCAGTAAGAAGAAAGAGTGAACAGTAAGAAATGGACCAACCACAGTTGATTATTTTTGTCATAATCGACTGTGATTAGTTTATTTCTTACCGCTTACGCTTACTTCTTACTGCTTACTGCCATTGTAGACCACGTTTAATCGATTATTCTTATAATAATCGATTGTGGTTGGTCTACTTCTTACTACTTACGCTTAGAATCTTATTCTTGCAGCCATTGTAGATGGGCCTTAAAGCGTCGTCTACAATGGCAGTAAGCAGTAAGAAGTAAGCATAAGCGGTAAGAAATAAACCAATCACAGTCGATTACGACAAAAATAATTAACTATAGTTGGTCCATTTTTTACTGTTCACGCTTACTTCTTACTGCTTACTGCCATTGTAGACGACGCTTAAAGCCATCCCACACAAACGAACTTAAGCAGTAAGACGTAAGCAGTAAGCAAATCGACCAATCACAATCGAAATGTAAGGACGCCATTTTAAAACTTACGAGAATAATTGATTGTGATTGGTCAGTTTCTTTACTACTTACGTCTTACTGCTTACTTTCATTTGTATGTGATGGCCTTTAAAGCGTGGTCTACAATGGCAGTAAGCAGTAAGAAGTAAGCGTAAGCGGTAAGAAATAAACAAACCAATCACAGTCGATTATGACAAAAATAATTAACTGTGGTTAGTCCATTTCTTACTGTTCACGCTTTCTTCTTACTGCTTACGGCCATTGTAGACCACGCTTTAGGCTCATCTACAATAGCTAATAATAGCTAGTAAAAATAAGGCTGTAACGTAAGCTGTCAGTGGATGAAAATATTTCATTTCGTGTCTTGCAACCTTACAGTCTTACTCTTACAGCTAATGTAGACGAGCCTTAAGGCTATCATACATAAAATTCCGTAAGAACGTAAGACGTAAACGTAAGGAAATCGACCAATCCCAATATAATATTCTCTCCATAACCCCTCCACTTTTGTCCGTAAAACGTAAAACGTAACGTCGAAAAATTCAGTAAGGATGAAATTTTTACGGCTACGTCTTGTGAACAACCAATCACAAATGATTACATATTATACGCTTTAGCTTGAAATTTGCGAAGCTAGTAAAGTTAGATGTATGATACGTAGCATTTGTCGCAGTGAGATAAGTGAGATGAAATGAGTGATCATAATCAATATTATAATATGTTTAATAACTCGGAAAATGATGAATTCCTTGAAAATGAGGATGGTAAAGAAAATGATGAACTGCTTATTGATGCGGTAAGAACATACTCACATTTTTATAACCATCAAAATCGTAATTTTAAAGACCATTTGATGAAAGAAAATTCGTGGAAAGAAATAGCCTTAGCAGTAAACAGTTCAGGTAAATGAATATATTATTAGAGTTTTTGCAATACCGTCTTCAGATACGATAACGCTAAAGTACGTTCCAATATTCACTGCCAATACTGCGAATATATAAATTATGTTACGCATCCTATAGATTTGAAGTACTGGCAGTGAATATCGGAACGTACTTTAGCATTACCGTATCTGGAAGACGGTATTGCAAAAACTCCTTACTATTAAATGATAATTATATAATATATACGATAATAGAGTATGCACTGGTAATTATTATAATATGCACTGAGGGGGGGGAGGGGACTTTATATTTCTACCTCTTCTATTTATTTATTTATTAATAAGAAAATCAATGTTTTTATAGTTTCGGATTGTCAAAACCATTGGATAAGACTCTGTGAAAGATTCGGTAAAGAAAAACAGCAAAGGGAGTTGGATTCAAAGAATGGCGGTTAATCAGCGGAGTTAATTAGCGAAGTGGTTTTACATATTATGAAAATATGTCATTTCTAAATGACCACATCAAAAAAAGGAAGTAAGTTTATGAGTCAAGAACATAAATAAATGTTGACGTATATAGCAGTATATATAGCAGTGTAATGTTGTATGACTTTCTCAGGTCTTATACGAATGTTTCAAGTGTGAAACGTATAAAGACAATGGATGGATGGAATAAGAGAGTCAACACCTTCTCTAACACTCAAAAGTTTGCAAGCTGCGCCAGTGTCGCGACAACCACCATATAAGAAAAAAGATAACTCGGGTGCATTGGAGAGTTCTCTAATTTTACTTTGCCAAACTACCCAGTCGATACAATTTGTTACTGCTATATAATTTGGAAATAACAAGTTATATAACGAATATATTATAATAATTATACAACATTTATGTAATTTCTCTGTCTTTTTGTATAATATATAACTACCACAGTCAACATATTTAGTTGCTGCTATATACCTTCAAAATAACAAGTTATATAACGAATATGTTATAACAGTTACATTACAATTATGTAATTTTGATGTCTTTCTCTACATAACTGCTCAGTCAACACATTCAGTTGTTGCTATATATATCTAGAAATAAAAAGTTAATGACCAGTTATAATAACGATAGAGTGGAAATTCTCAGCGGAACGGTACGCTCTGAGTCAGCGTGACTAATCATAGCCATTTCTCTTTTTTTTCGGCGCTAATTCTGTTTCCCTGAAGTTGGCGTCTCATAGCATGGAAATTCTCAGCGGAACAGAACGCGCGAAGCCAGCGCGACCAATCACAACTATTTCTTTCATTTCGCGCCATTCGCGGAATGGCTGTGATTGGTCACGCTGGCTTCCCGTATTGCGTCGTGAGTGACACGCGGCAAGAGTTTCCGTATCCTGTGTGTAACAGAAATCATAACGGACTATTGTCGTGTTCCGATATTCACTACGAGAAAGGAAGAAAGCACGTTATTGTTCTTACATCGCGTTCGCTAACACGTGTCCGGAATTTAGAGCGAAATTCGACATGACCTTTGTAAATTTGTCTTGTCAAGAGAGAGAAAGGATAACGAGCTCTAACCTCCGGAAAGAAAGGTGTAAATTCACACTTAACCTATATATATATACAATATATATTATTTTTTGCAATTCTATTTGCATTTTCTCCAAATGTAATATATTTGATTCACTATTATTTAACGTAGTAAATAGTGTTACGGAATTCTATCAGTCAGACCTTCCCGTCAGCATAAAACAAGGAAAGAGAAGAAGAAGAAGACGATAAGCTGTGAAGATACATTCTGTAGGACATACAGTTTCTTGTCGCTTCCTACAGTCCCATTTTTTTCACACAGAGGAGGGTGAAGGAGAGAGGATCTTGCGTAGTCACATTGGAACATTTACGACTGCATCAACAAGAGAGATAAAATAAAGTAATTATGTTAAAATTATTATTATTTTACTACAGCGCTATAAAATTACCTACTTGCACGACCATCGATTAAACCTTATTAATTTGAGCATGAACTAGTATTAATAGATATTTTACTTTATTTAGCGTATTAGAAAAAGTTAGCTCTTTCAGTATATATAAAAACCCAGATGGCACAGATAGTTGAAAAAGAATTCCAAAAGAATTCAGTCATTGTCAGTAATTATGAGTTCATTTTCAGATGCAAAAATAATTCTTTTCGGAGAATTGTACTGAAAAGAATTATTTTTTGATCTGAAAATTAACTTATAATTACTGACATACGACTGATTTCTTTTGGAATTCTCTGTGCTATCTGGGAATATAATATTAAGCAAATTCTGATAAAGTATGTGACATTTTTGTTATAGAAAAAAAGGATGCCAAAACAGCTACATTTATTGTCTAAAAGAAGAAGATTTCAATTAATTAACAATGAACTGGCACATCATAGTAGTTCCTTCCTGTCTAGAAAAGTAGAATCAGTAAAATGTACTAATCATAGCGAATTAATTGTACCTCATTCGAGCAATGTTGCGGAATTCTTGATCAATAAAATCAGAAGTAAGAAAACGCATTCCTAAAATTCTTGCGAAATGCATTGAAATAAAAAGATATTTACAAAGTGATACAATTGATCGAGAGAGTTTGTCAAATAGTTCAAACATTTTCAGTTTGCTGTAACAATCAATAATATACCGTAAAAACATAACAAAACTTTTATTTTTAATATTTTTTTCCCATGATTCAATATCACTTTAATTGTACATTCATTTATTAATTGTTAGCACAAAAGGAAAGTATTTCGATTACTTTACAAATATGCTCGATTACAAGTATCACTTTATGGATCACTTTATCTCTTGATTTCAAAGTATTTCGCAACAATTTCTAGCATGCTTTTTCTGTTAATGTCATAAATCATCGCGGCGAAGAAACAGGAGCCTTAAGACAATTTTTTAGTTAGCTACCGTAGCTATTGACATATATATATACATATATATATATATATGACTCTCAAGTTATGTTTTTCTGTTCAATTATTTATTGAAATGAGTCTCAAGCCATGTTTTTCTGTTCAATTATTTATTAAAATGTTATAATAAATAAAACCTTTTGAAACTGGAAGATGTTTGCATTAGTATTAATATATACATTCTCTTCAGTCCTGGTATCCAGTCGGCTGGGAATTTTTTTCAAGTTTATAGCCTGACTCTCCTTATACTTGAAGTGAGTAAAATCCTACGTCCAGCATGTTAGACACATGGTTTTATACACTTCAAGTGTAAGGCGAGTCAGGCTATAGACTTGAAAACAATTTCCAGCCAACTGGACACTAGGGCCCAGTTCCACAACGTGCTTTAAACTTGGTTAAAAGCAATAGTATATGCGCATATACTATTGCTTTTAACCATTGGTTTAGCTTTAAACTCCGTTTAAAGCAAGTTGTGGAACTGGGCCTAGGACTGAGGAGAATAAATAATATCTTTCCTACTTTTCTTTTAATATATATATACGATATAACATGATAGTAGCAGACACATCTTAATGTATGTGATATGTATGTTACGTTATTCAATTACCAACAAGCTAGGTTACATTTCCGTACATGTTACAAATGGAGTAATATTACATTTATGTAACATATATGTAACATCCATGAAATATAAACTCTGATATTTAACATGTATGTATCATTACTTGTACTATCGAAAAAGGGTGAAATTTTTATATAACAATAACGTAAAAATTACTTTCACGTTATATAAAACGTGATTTAGAAAAACATAGATGTTATATGTTGGCTATATTATTGTGTCGATTGGGTATGCACCAACGTCTCCAGCATAATCATAATTCCGAAATTATTGGTAGCTCGGAAGAAACTTTTGCAAGGTTAATCGCGAATCAATTAGAAAAATTACCATCGCATGAAAAATATAAACGCCAGCAAGCAATGATGCAAATTTTGCATGAACCTTATAATTCTTTAAGACGAAAATGACAGCAAAGTTACAAACCATTTTTATATTTTAAATTTTAGATAGCATATTATTAATTTCGTATTTGTGTTCCTAATATTCCTAATGTTTATTTTTAGATAGTAATTCACGCTTCTGTATCTTTCTTTATATAATATTATATAATCTTTCTTTATATAATATATAAAATATATAGATTATTGATATTGTATATTTCGCAATAAATAAAACATACAAACAATATTTTGTAATTATATGTACATTGGAAATTTATTACAAACATATATAATTACATGTCTGGAGTATCATCGCAATTGAAATCTCTGCGGACACATATACGAGGGCGGTCCGATAAGTACTTAGCCTCACCGCCCGATGGCGCCACTATCGCAAGAGAAATTTACTATCGTGTAGTACATTCTCGTAGACGGCTACTGTCGAAATTTCAGCCGAATCGGACTCGTAGTTTTGTTTTGACCGTGTGTGGAAGCGGGCGTGTCCGCGGATTTTAGAAAAATGGAAAAAGAGCAATATCGGTCGATGATTCGATTCTTGTTTTTGGAAGGGAAATCGCGCAGCGAAATCAAAGAGCGCTTGGATGCTGTGTACGGTGACTCTTCTCCTTCGATGGCGACCGTCAAAAATTGGTTTAACGAGTTTCAACGTGGTCGCACGTCGGTTTTTGATAAGCCACGTCCAGGTGCCCCGAAAACGGCTACCACGGAGGATAACATGACAAAAATCCACGATCTCGTATTGGCAGACCGCCGATTGAAGGTGCGCGAGATAGCTGAGACAGTAGGCATCTCAAAAGACCGCGTGGGTCATATCCTGCATGAAATTTTGGGCATGAGAAAGCTGTCGGCGCGATGGGTGCCGCGTTTGCTCACTCCGGACAACAAGCGCAAACGTGAGACCACTTCAGAGCAGTGTTTGACGCTGTTTAAGCGCAATCCGAAGGAGTTTCTGCGTCGTTTCGTGACCGTCGACGAAACATGGATCCACTGGTACACACCAGAGACCAAGGAACAGTCGAAACAGTGGACTTCACCCGGCGAACGTGCTCCGAAGAAGGCGAAGACTGTCTTATCGGCCGGAAAGGTGATGGCCACCGTTTTCTGGGATTCACAAGGTGTGATCTACATCGACTACCTGGAGAAGGGCAAAACGGTCACAGGGCTGTACTATGCCGAATTATTGGGCCGATTCGTCGTCGAATTGCAGAAAAAATGGCCCCATTTGGCGAAGAAAAAAGTGCTCTTCCACCATGACAACACACCGGCTCACACCCCCGCCCTCGCCACGGTCAAATTGGTCGAATTGGGCTACGAACTGCTGCCCCATCCACCGTATTCTCCAGATTTGGCCCCGTGCGACTTCTTTTTGTTTCCAAACTTGAAAAAGTCACTCGCCGGACAGAAATTTGAGTCAAATGAGGAGGTCATCGCCGCCACGGAGGCCTACTTTGCAGACCTCGAGAAAACGTATTTTCCAGACGGGTTAAAGAAGTTGGAGCATCGCTGGGTCAAGTGTATCGAGCTAAAAGGAGACTATGTTGAGAAATAAATCGCCACTTTTCCAAAATTTTCGTTTTTCTTTTGTAGGCTAAGTACTTATCGGACCACCCTCGTATACTGCCACGGAAGTTCACCTTCAGAAGTGACAAAGAAATTTGCTAATAAGTCTCTCTGATTATATGTTTCTCTTGTTGCGCAATGGGCATTTGGTGGTATAAGGCCTTGAAAGCCTTCAACATCTTCATTACGCCACTCTCCAGGAACAATATCGCTATTCTGTGATTCCGAGTCCACAAAATTGGGTGAACAATAAAAGCAATTTCATGTAGATAATGCATCGTTTTCCGTTTTTAAAAAGTTGTGAAGACAAACACATACCATGACAATCTTGTCGACAGTAACAGGGTTCATGCAAATGGGTTTCCTGAATACTCTCCATCGTGAAGCAAGGATGCCAAATGTACTTTCAATGGTTCCTCGGGCTCGAGATAGTCGATAATTAAAAACTTTCCAAATTTGACTTAAATTTCGACCAGCATAAGGTTTCATCATGTTGGTAGTTAACTGAAACGCGTCATCTGCAATGAAAAAGCAAGATGTTCTTATTTCACTTCCAGGTAATTTTGCAATTCCTTGTAGTAAGTCCAGCTCTTGATTTCGCAGAGCTTTGCAGAATTCTGATCGAGAGAATACTCCTGCATAATTATTGCTACCATAAGCATCGATGTCGACTAGAGTGAATTTATATTTGTGATCAGACTGCCATCAATACGACACTAAAAGTCCTTTTGTAATTATAGTATAAGCTGCCAGAGTTTGGCGGAGCTTGTATCTGAATATGCTTTCCATCTATGGCTCCTAAACAATGTGGGAAGTTCCAATCCTTCCAAAAACCATGAAAAATATTAACCTACTCTTCTTGTACTGGAAATCGAAGATAATCACGTGTTAAGATTTTTATTAAGACGTCACACGTTTCTTTTATGACTTTTTATGCTGTTGACTCCCCTATGCGGTAAGCAAAAGCGATTGATAATATCAGGTGTAGTAAAAAGAAATCCATTATTTTTCCAATAGATGGCTTTAGTTATCTATATCTCGCGTTGTATAAGTCCGATCGGGTTCCACTAGATGGCGTTAGAAAGATGAGATTTCGTACTAAAAAAACTTTTCTGACAGTTTTGTGATTAGTTGACTCAGTTTTGTTTGAGCGCGCGCCAAAGATGGACACTAGCAAAGAGAAAATACGCTATATTTTACAGTTTTTCTTCGATAAAGGCGAAAACGCAAGCCAGGCGGCTGAAAATGTAAATAGTGTTTATGGTCCTGATACTGTAACAGCCAATCACGCGCAATTTTGGTTTCGTCGATTCCGTTCCGGTAATTTCGATGTCAAAGATGCACCACGCACTGGAAGGCCAATTGTCGAAAATATCGATAAAATCATGGACATTGTCGAGTCCGACCGTCATGTAAGCACTGTTTCGATTGCCCAAGAGCTAAAGATTGCACAAAAAACCGTTTGAAACCATTTGAATAAGGCTGGATACGAAAAGAAGCTCGATGTATGGGTGCCACACGAGTTAACGAAAAAAAACCTCTTGGACCGAATTTCCATTTGCGAATCGCTGCTGAATCGCAACAAAATCGACCCATTTCTGAAACGGTTGGTCACTGGTGATGAAAAGTGGATCACTTACGACAACGTCACCGACGTCAACAAGCGAAAACGGTCGTGATCGAATCGGGGTGAGCCGGCGGAAACGGTGGCCAAGCCAGGATTGACGGCCAGGAAGGTTTTGCTGTGTGTTTAGTGGGATTGGCAGGGAATTATCTACTATGAGCTGCTCCCCTACGGCAGAACTCTTAACTCGGAACTGTACTGTCAACAATTGGACCGTCTGAAGGAAGCAATCGCCCGGAAGCGGCCAGCTTTGACCAATAGGAGAGGAATTGTGTTCCATCAGGACAACGCCAGGCCACACACATCGA